GACTTTATGAAAAATCATAAACTAATATGAACTTAAAAAATGAAGAAAGGTATAGAGTTTTAACTTTATGAAGTGGATAGTAAAATTATTAAAGGCTATCTAGATATGGTAATCCTCACTTGAAAAAGAAAAAGAAAAAGAAGAAAAAGGATTGAAAAGATCCTAAAAGAAAAAAAAAAGAAAAAGAAAAGAAAAATAAGTGAGGAGAAACTTGAGGAGATGCCTGATCAAAAATTGGCTTCAATTGAATCAACTTAAGGAAAGAGTTTTATTACATTTTCTAAACTTGTATTGGATTATTAGTAGCATTCTTAATAAAGTTTTCATGTAGTTCTTTTTCATATGAATGTTCTAAATGTCCCTAATATGACAAACTGCAATTATTGTTGAAATGAATAGAGATTCAGAAATCTTAAATTTGATTACTAAATATTCCTAGACTTAGAGTTAAAATCAAAGTAATTAAAGGATTTTTCTTAAGTTTTGTTATTCTATTTATTAAACTAAAGTATAGAAGTCATAAGTTAATCTCCATCCTAAGTCATTTGCTTTTATGTAATAAAAGTGTCACTTGAGGACAAGTAACATTTAAGTTTGGGGGATTTTGATACACCAAAAAAATATACTGATTTAAGTACTTATTTTATGCTTATTTTTGGTGATATTGCACTTTAAAGAAGGGCATTTTTGTGTTTTTGTTGCAGGTATATCATTTTTAGGCATTTGGAGCAAAAATGATATAAAGGACAAAATTTGGAACCAAAACAGTGATTTTAGGGTTTTGGCGCATGATGCGCCAAAATCCAGAGAACTGGCTCATGATGCGCCAAGGACGACTTTCTGAAATTAAGGCGGTTTGAGATGAATTTTAAGAAAATTTTCAAAGAGACACCTGTTCTACACACCTCTTGGAGTAATTTAATGTATCTAGACACTTTGGATGGTTCTTTTATGAAGGGATATGACTCTTAGATCAAATGGCACATCTTTTGAATTGAAAAGAGTTGACTTTTGGAAGGAACTCTGAATTCTTTTTTACTTAAAGAGTTAAAAGGGGGTGGTGTGAGAGAAATAAAAAGGGCTGTGAGTTAGAATAGAGGAAGAGATTTTCTTCTAGGGTTGTAAGAGGAGAGGAAATGTGAGAGATTTCTTCTTCATTACACTTCTAAGAGAGAATTGGAAGTGATTGTAAAGAGAGAAAGTATTGGAAAGAACTTATAAGGATTTGCTTGGGAAGGATTGTGAGATAAGTTGTATTTTTATTTCTTTTATTTTATAAACTTATTTCTATACATGAAATATGTGTCTTATCGTATCCTTCTCATGAATTATGAGTAGTCTTATTTATCCTTCTCCCTACTTTTTGATATGGTTTTGTGAAGAATAGATTTTTTTTCAATTGTTTTACATGATAATAATTTGTGATGATGTGAACTCCGATTTTCATTTACTTTTCGATCTGGCCAATTAACGAAAGGGCTGTGATTTTTACAATATGGGGAGAATCAGATTTGATTTCATGAAGATATGAATTTTACAACATAGGAAGAATCATATTTGATTTCATGGGAGAGTATGTCATCCATGAGATTGGGTGCAAATAAATAGAGAAATATACTTGGTTGGATGTAGAATTAGAGATTTTAAGGTAATATTTTAAGGTGATAGATTAAAATCCTCAATTTGGTCAGTTGATTGGAAACTAATGCGAGCATGTTAGCCCTCAGTCGAGGGGAGGAGTGGGAGCTCTGGAGTGGCACCTGTATCCTCCCAGCCTAACCACGGAAATAGGGACCAAACTCTAGATTAGACAATGTTCTTTATAGCACTTGAAAGAGGGTAAAGAATAGGATTGCTCTTATTTAGCACAAAACAGTTTATATATATATTTTCAAATGATTTCAATTTCGTGGAATGATGCTTTCTTAAATTTGAATTTTCCGTCACAACAAAAACTTTGTTTAATTTTCGTAATTTTACTTCTGAAAGTTTAGTATTAAGTTTAGTTTAACTTTTATAGTCTTACATTTACATTTTAATTAGCATTCACTTGAGTAGTTAATTTTCAAACTTCACACTTTACTTTTACTTTTGAATTTATTTTCTTTATAAAATAATTTTTATAATTTACTTTAGGATTTTCCAACTTCTCTGTTGGATCGATATCTAAGACTCCATTAGAGCCCTTTATTACTTGAGCGATATGTATACTTGTGTAGATATTAAAGGTGATTTGGCAGTTTAAAAAAGTTTTAGAAGATAAATTATTTACATAAAGAGTATTTTTGTTGAGATTATATTGCATATTCATTATATATCTGTCGTGTATAATTTTGTAATATTGAAAAATATTTGCAAAATTGTCTCACTAAATCGCCCTACATCACGTACCACCTTAAAATTTCTTATAGTGTCTAGGGTATAACACATTATCTAAAAATTTTTCTTTACCTGACTCCACCCTTAGCATAAATTTTCCAATCCCTTCTATCAATCAAAAATAAATATACTTGGTTCAACTTCACCTAAGCAGCCTTTTTTAGAACTCTTCAATGATCACTCTTCGTGCAAAACCCCCTTCATTAGATGATTGAATCCCTCTATTTGGGTCTTTCCCATGAAACATTATCATCGGACTGTAGGTACCATTGCTTGAAGCCTAGTTCTTCCATTTGAAATATTTATTAATCTTCAACTTCCTCAATCATGAATGCCTCGTTTCTGATGATTTTGACTTATTTTATTAATTAAGAGTTTTCTTTTGGTATTATGATTCTAGTGATGTAATTAACTAAGAGGGCTTGCTCTTATAGGAAATGAGTTCTCATAATTAAAATAAACTTTATCTTACACCCATAAAGTATAGGAAAAAAACCAACTTTTGTATACTGATGAAGGTTATCATTACCTGGGTGATTAGGCCCTTTTTTAAAGTAATGTTTTTCTTCTTCAAGAGGATGTGTTATTCTTCAAAATATCTTGCTTGATCATCTAGATAAAAGTCTTTCAAAAAAATATATGGTGTGTGGCGAGGAACAAAAATCCCTCACTAAAGTCTCTTTTTCTGTCAACTCCACTGTGGAATGATGTTCCTCTCTCAATCTTTTATAATGGGTTAAAATATTTATCCAACCTTTTCATGGGTTCATCAAACTTATCTCTGAGTCTTGACCCATGTATTTAATATTTTATTTCTTGCCTGGTCACCCAAACTCTCTTTAATGAGTAGGGTTTCGAGACATCTCCATCTTTATTTCTTCTTAAAATTTTTCAACAAAACTTTGATATTAGCATCATTTGATGAATTTTTTATAGATTTTATTTTCAGCTCTATTTTGATATCTTTCTGTACACATTACAAGAAAGATGTCTCCCAACTTATTTTCTTTCTCGATAATGGAAATAACCAGGCTTTTTGCTCAAGTTATCGGAATGGTGAGTCATCATCAAGTTTGGAATGGGTTTCAACAACTTTAGAGTTTTACAATTGACATGGAATCCTCACCTCACTTCGACATTGAATCAGAAGAAGACTTTCAATTGCTGAAAAAGAGGGTTATCAAGACTACCATTGTTATAACTATCAACATTGTTCTTTGATGTGTAGATAAGTATGCTAATATTTCCTTATGATTTACACTTTTTTATGGCTGAGATTGAAATTTAAAGAAAGAAATTTTTATATTTTTCATGGAGGAACAATAGGTAATGGAAGTGAGGAAATGTAGAGGAGACTTAGATCAAAGGAGCATATTGAAGAAAGGTGCCTAGAAGCCACGATACTGGTGCCTAGGCACAGGACCCATGGTGCCTAGGCGCTCATGCCTTCTATATCACACAAAGAGATTGAAGCCTAGGCGCCAATAACTGCTAAGAGCACTTTTGATAGTTCAGGAAGCCTATCATGGGGAGTTGTGTAGGAGGTTGTGGAGTGATTTTTATGTTAAATAATAGAGTCTATATATAGCCTTGTATCAGAGAGTTAGATGGATGCATGAATATGTAGGGATTGATGAGAGTTGGTTATTTTGAGGATTACCTTGTTGTAAAATCCTTCTACTTCATCTAGTGTAGAGGATAGGGAGAGACTTTAGGAACAGCAGCCAAGATCCAGGAAGAGTCTTGGTTAAGCATCTTTTGGTCATTGTAAAGGAGAGGAAGATAAATCTTGTTTGTCTGTATTTTTGTATTTCATTTGTAAACATTTGGATAGTGGATTTCTCTTATTTTAATGAATTTGAGTTGTGTCTTTCTCATGCTTCTTGAGTAGATGTCTGTTCCTTACCTCTGATGATTAAGTAGGATGTATAGGACTAGAAAATGCTTTTAAATTACTTTTAATTATCAAATGTTATGATTACCTTTATATAATCATTTTCTTTTCATTCTGACCAAGTGAAATGTTAAAATGTGTTGTGAATCATAATGACTCGGGAGAGCTATGACAAAATCAACTAGTTTAGTACATTGAAATTTGAGGTATAGGTTGATTTGGCTTGTAAGGAGATGCAAATATTAAGGAAATATTCTTTGATTTGATAATGATAGAAATTAAGGAATTAACCGTAGTTTAAAAAATCTTTTTAATGAACTTGGGAGAGGGTAAAGAAGAGTGTTGCTCTTTTTTGTAACAAGCCTATTATAAAATTTGTACTTTATATTTCCTATACTCCACTTGCATCATTATAAGGGAGGGGTTTTTTATAACCTATTATGTTATGTAGGATTACTTGTGTAGGATTTAAATTTATTATTCTTTGTGACACAGTACATTAACTTATTGAACTTAAAAGTGTTTTAACTATTTTAGCTAGGACAAAAATAAATATGCTAGAGCTTTTCCTATTTGGAGTTACCTTGTTCTTTTTTGGATCAACATTTCAAATTCTAACATCTGATACTACTGATATTACACGTGCACTTGTATAATTCTCCAATGTGTAGTAGCACCTAGAAGCGATATTCAATTATTGGCGCGATTTCTGGGGAACGACAGTGATTTTGACTTAAGAAAATTTTATTTGAACTTGGAGGTCTTAGATTTGAAAACTTGTGGTGTTAATTTTTTTGTGTTGTACTGTTTTCATTGTTTGTCTTTTATCAAAATAAGAAAAACCATAAATATTTTGAGGTTTGTTTGATTGTGTGTTTGAACTTTCAAAATTTGGAGTTTCTAGTTCTTATATGGGTAGTTCAGGAATTACTAGACTTGAACCTTATGATTCAGAGCTAGAGAGAATTGTAGGAAAATTAATAAGCTAAAGATCTTTGAACAACTCGTAGAAAAGATGGTGAACCATTCACTAAACAATCCAGATATCCATGAACCAAGTCATGAAAATTCAGATGCACATAGACCTTTTACTTGACAATGTAAAATTTGAAAAAATATAACATATGAATGAAAATTTATTAAAGATGATAAATGAAATCTACGATCATTTTTTTCCAATTGTACTTCTTTTATCTTTAAAATGAAAATATGTTCTTTTCATGTAATCAATATTGTTTGAAGTCCCCTCCCTAATTTAGGTACTCTAACACTTTTGGTTCTCCCACAAGTATACGTTTAATATAAGTAATAACATATTTTTTTAGTATGGAATATCGATCCCATATGGAGTGAGGGGTTAATGTTGTAGAGTATGTTATAGTCTACTAAATATAGTTCTTTGCTTAGAACATAGATTAGGTTGAAGATTTACAAACAAATTTTTCAGAGTTGCGATCAATTGTAAATGTTAAATTCAACAAAAACCTACTTAAATTACTTAAATTAATGATTATCAAGATGTATAACAACCCTCCCTTGCAATGATATAAGTATTGTGTAGGAGTAGAATATTTTGAATTGAAACTATGGCTAGTGACAAATAAAAGCAGTTCTCTTCTTTACCCTCTAGCCAGTGCATAAAGAGGTTTGATTAAACCTATTTTAATTCCTCTAACCCCTATTTGAAACGATCAAAAAATATTTTCCTGTCTATTTGCATTTCCATATGGACTACTTTTCCTTCACAGACTAGTTTAATGTGAATACCCTATTTGTTTCTCCATAGCTCTCCTAAGTCATGATGGACCACAACATATTTTAACAATCATTTAGCCAGAATGAAAAGTAAATTATAGATGGAAGAATATTCATCACATTAAAGATGTAAAACCAATTCTAAAAGTATCCTACAATCCTACACCACCTATATATTCATCACAAGAGAATGGTAAGAAGGAACTACTCATAAAGCAAAAAGGAAACAATGCAAGTCATCCTTTTAAACAAAGCAAATCTACTAGAATTGTTCTTACAAAAAATATAAGATGAAATAGAACACATTGCTTAAATTTTCCCCTGTAAAAGTGATGAAAACTTATTAACAAACGATTTCCAAACACCTTCTGCAATGCTGAGTTCTTCCCTTACAATCACACAGAAGTTCCTCACCAACTCTCCAGACAAATAAAAAGAAACTAGCGTACTACAAAAAAATTCCTACCCTAGGCTTTGTAAGAACTTCTCTCCAACATTCTAAAGAGCTCAACCTTTCCAAATTCACCAACGATGCTCCATGGAACCATCTATATGCACCAAATAACTCTTTGCATCGTGTAGAGAAAACTTGATGAACTACCCCAGGCAAATCTGGGGCCTAGGCGCCACCGAGCTTGTTCCTAGACTCCAAGCTCTCTATCTGGTTAGCTCAGTTCTGGCACCTAGGCACCCAAGTAAGTAGCACCAAGGTGCTTTGGTGGAGTGCCCTGGCGCCCAATGACTGGTGCTTAGGCGCCGGTCTGTTAAATCTGCCAATTTGCTCCACATAACCTCATTTCATCTCCACTTCTTTCCAGTTCTACTTATTACATTTGCAAGTAAAACATGAATATACCCTTCTTCAAAGTGCAATTTCATCCATAAACAGGTCCAAAAGAGAGAAAATTAAGCATACTTTAAGCCATATAACGTCCTATCACTAGTCCTCTGAGTGAGTCAATAATTTGACTATATGGATTGACATTCATGATCCATATTAAGATGACTGCCTCTTCCTTTTAAGGATAGTATCACGAGGAATTTTCTCTCTTTGAGCATCTATAAGACATTAAGCTCAACTTATAAATGTCTTCTATTTTCATACAATTAAAGTCCAACCACCTCCAAATGTAAAGATGTTAATATTACATAAGTATATGGAGAAGTTTGATCCATCTAACCATATCACTGACTTTAAGATAGCTATAACTCTTTTTTCTCTAGGTTTGTAAGGAAATATCAATTTTCACTTTACAAGTTTTAAATGAGTATTAATTTAGTATTTTTTTCATGTTCCTTTAAGAAATAGTGTTGTACAAAAACGGTTCTGAGTTGAGAAAGTTCATGATCGTGTTCAAGTTCATTCATTAAAAGCTTCGTTGAGGGCAATTTCAGCTTTTAGAAATGTGTTCGAGCATAAACTCATCTATCATCTTCCTATTTGAGCTTGGCCAAACTCATATAGAGATTACCAAGCTTACTAATTAGTAGCTCATATAACTACAAACTAAAAGATTCATTGTAGAGCTATAAAGAAACCTTAGTTTAGCTTAATACAAAAGCATATTAAAAAGATAAATTAGTTGGATCAAGCTACTTAAGCATGTTAAGAATAGAAAAAGAACATTTAAATTATAATATTGGTTAATGAACCTTAATTGCGCAGTAATCACATCTTAATCAAGCATCTTACCTAGCTTATCTATGAATTTTAAATGATTATATTCATATACATAATGAATTAAACAATAAGCTATTCAAGCTTGCTCATTTAGAAAATGAGAATTTTGGAAAGTGTTCATGTTTGTTAGATTATTTAATTAAATGATCATGAATGAGATTTAATCAAGTAGATTTGTAAGTAGCTTGTAAAATGCTCGATTCATTTATAGGCCAACAAAGAAGCATGATCTACTTCACTTACCTCAAGAGAAAATTTATCACTCTATTAGATAATATCTAGAATCCCTTAAATTATTATATCAATGATTTTATCGCGTTCAATTATTTAAGATTAGAACTTTTCTTAGATCTTCATAACACTATGTAATCTAAAGCCAAACAATATACTTAGAGGAAATTAAAAAGAAAAAAGAGAATGTTGCATTTAAAATAATCAGACTAAAACATATTATTATCAATCACTTTAACGACTCAAATTAAATCCATTTGTTTAATTACATTTTAAATTTAAAGTCAAATGAGCATTGTTAGGCCGATTAGTTTAATAGAGCTTATATTTTCCATGATTAAACATATAGGATTTATAATAAGCAACATGAGCATCATGATTTTCATCTCATGATTAAAGTGAATTTAATACCATCATGTGGTATATTTCGGCATCCAAATTTACGTGACTTTTATAATTTGAAATTAATACAACTTTATAATCTTATATAAAAGTCACATGAGATTTAGCTTTTTCAAGGGTACAACATTTATTGTTTAGATTTAAACACAATTATACACAATATTTAATTAGAACCTCCAATATGAACATGTTATATATAACTCCAAATTGGATGTTTGGAGTTTTTTTAATTCTAAAATTGAATTTTTTTGTTTAATTTTAAATTATTTGACTGAAAGTGTTTGATTTAATATGATTATTTTGTAGCATCTAATTTGATTTGATTAGATCCAAATACACAGAACTAGGATGGTGTAAAGTGTTTTTAAAAGATTTTGTAACTTATAAGAATTAATGTCTTCATGATGGAGTTAGGAGATTAAATTATCCAACTTATCCTTCATAGTTTTTTAAGTAACTTAATACTTTTATAATAGTTTATGAATTTAAATAATGTTAAAAATAATTGAATAATTTAAAAGGTGATTAAATATTTTAAGGAATTAAATTTTTTAATTAATTAATGTCACTTCGAGGTTTAAAATTCTATTTATTGGATTAAAAAATTTTTAAGGATAAAATTTGCTCAATCATTTTAATATTAAAAATTTTAGTTAATCCATAATGTTAAGGGCTTTTCATAAGTGATTTTAAATTCATATCTAAATTTTGTTAATATAAAAACCCTTGACAATTACGTTAATTTTATTATTTAATAGATTCATTATTAAATTTATATTTTTCTACACATATGAAATCAATTCATTGATTTTTAAAATAAAAAAAATTATAGTAAATTAAATTAAATCATAAAAGTATAAAAAATAAAATATATTTTCATATAATTTATATAATTTTACGTTTATTCAATTTGAATTAGTATTTCTCTAAAGGGTTTAATAAATCTAAAATCTTTGATTTTCCAATTATAATGGCAGTTAGCAAAATTCTATAAGAAGTTCTTGTGTAGTGGTTATAGCAAATATATCATCTCATTATTTATGATGAGGATTAGGGCTTTATTTGCAATAACTAATACAACTATATAATGTCGTGATTAGATATAGCATATAGGGTTCCAATAAGAATCCATATATGGGAGAAGGAAGAGCCATCCTATTAGTAATCATAATATCTTAGTAAAATGGCATTTGATCTTAGACTTACGAGTTATATTAACATTTTTCTGAATCTTACCTTTTAGGTCAAAATTAATGAAGATGCATAACTATCCTGGCTCCTCATAATTTGCTCCTCTTAACTAAAACACCATCTGAAGCCACCAAAGCAAAAGGATGTAATGTATAGATGGAGTTTGAAAGCTTGCCAATAACACATGGGCATTCAATAGCTCTCATCAAATCTTTGGAAACTCTTAGCCCGATTACTTCTTGTTTGAAATGGATGTTACTTAAAAAATTTCATTCTAAGTACGTAATTGGAGGAAAATAAATGAAGACACATTTTCTTAATAAAAATCTTGAAAATTTTAGCAGATAAATATCTAATAGTCTCATTCATGAAGAAACGTATAGCCATTTGATTTTTGGTTTCTATGCCTCGTTAGTATAGAATCGCAAGGGATTTATGGTGATCCCTTTTGATGTTATTAAAATTATTCACACTAATCATGAATTAACTAAGAAGTCGTATTACTAACAACATAAAATAGTCCAATCCAAAAAGAAGAAAAAATGAGATGGCTCAAGACCATAAAAGAAAAAAGAGAACCCCTAGTTATTTGAATCACCTAAATTATATTCCTCTCCAAAAATCATCAGAAAATAATGAAGTCACCATCTGTAAAAAGAAGTATTTATGTCACATGACATTAATATGCATTACAATATTAGATTGTGTCTTCTACAATGAGTATGATTATAATACAAAAGCTTGTTGTTATAAATGAAGACTTAATAAAGAACTTTTGAATGAGAAACTAAATAAATGGTTTGTATGTACTCATGCAAAATAATTCTAAAATTGGGAGCTAATTAATGAGAATAATGATTAACTTGTGCTAACATATACTATTTATATTACAAGGATAGCCCTAAAAGCTTTGGTGGAGGATGAGTTGAATTATCATGAATGATGGGCTCTAATTGATTCTAATCAAAAGATATTATTATGATAATATGTTATTATTATTAAAATAATAATTAAATTATAAAATATTTAGGGTAAGTATAACGATTTTAATTTGCTTCCTTTGGAGCTATTAGATGATTTATGTAATAAACAATATATAAAAGAAACTAATAGTTAGTTAGATGAAACAATAATTTATAAGCATGATTAATAATTTTATATAAATTTAATTTTTTTATTGTTTACATGTTATTCATTCTTTTACAATTAAATTTTCTGTTAATCTTGGCATTTCTTTTATATATTTCCTATTATTAACCAATATTTTTTGTAACACTATTTACAAATATTATTCCTATGATGGTGAAGATGCTCATTAAAAATTAATATCAACAATTTTTAGAGAATAAAAAAAAAAGATTATGTTTTATCATACTAACCTTCATTATACCTGTTATTGTTATTCTAATAACATTACTTGGGCATTGTTCATTATACCACTAATCATTAATACATGCCATTTTTTATTCCCTTTCATACTTTTGTCCTCCACAATCAATGTAACAACAATATATATTATCAACCATCTATTGTGTAATCTTAATATTACCCATTGACACCATAAGCACATCATATAAGGTCGTTTTCTTTGCTAGCCTCTGATACCATCTATATGGGGCTTATATGATCATCCAAACATATAATAGAAATTAAAGTGTCATTCTACCTCATAAGAGCATCAATAGTACATTGAGTCTAAAGAAAAATTATGAGCATTAATTATGTCTATCTTCATAAGATCATGCAGATTTTTATTATCAATATGTTGTGTTATTTAGGTTTAATCTTGCCAAATTTATCACACAAAAACTAAAAGATTTTAGAAAAAGTAAACAAATTTAAGGTCCCTTGTATATCATAAAAGAAAGTTTCGCTTGATGTTTGTGATATATAACTTTGAAAGTTAAAAAGTATTTTTTTATATTCTTAAACAAAATAAAATTAATTTTAGCGTGCTCATAAATTAATGTATGTTTACTAGAAGAGCTTTTGGCTCTAACTACATCATGATCACAATAGACGAAACTTTGATTAATGGGGCTAAATTTACTTATGCAATATAATTATTGGTATCTAGAAGCCTAAAAATGAGCTATTATGGGTAGAGGAGGGACTATTGATTGCCCTATGCAAAGCTCACAAAATTTTAGAATATGCTAGAAAGAAAGTGCACTAAATAAAATTCAGCTTTAGATGGTAGGGATATGGATACTATCTTCCATAATAGAAAATTAGTTTCACCTAATGGGCATCAAAAAAATAATAATAAATGTAAATTTATAATTAATTTTATAGTCATCCATCAATTTTTTATTTTATAAATATTTTTCTAGAAACAAATTTTGAATAAGGATCCTATTATAGTGGAGTTACAAACACCCATAAAATAAAGTTAGATAAGTAGTGGATTGATACGCATGAGCTTTCGTCTGTATGAATATTTTATCATTAAAATTTAATTATTTAAAATTTGGCAAAAATCATATTTAGGTAGAAATTTTTATACTTTTTAATATTGGACTTTTTGAAGAAAGGAGATAAGAAATAGATGATTCATGGAGCTCTTAATAAATAGTCAAGGCATTGTAAGAGAGTGATCTTTAAGTGGATCATCTCAATAATCAAATTTTGTAATCAAGAGCAGTGCAACAAAAGAAAAGAAGAAAGTGAGGATCGATGGATTTTGATCCAAAGATATTTATGATGCGTATTACTCATGTTTTTCCTATCTTGGCAATGTAAGAGATACAAAAGAAAAAATGTTTGGGATTCCAATTGTTTATTTTTACAATGTTAAAATATTATTTATGAAGTTGTTTAATAACAGATAAGATGTTAATTTAAATAATATGTGAACATGAGATGAAAGGTGAAGAAGAAAGTGAGGAAAGTGGGCGAGAGATGGAGTGAGATTTTTGCCTAAATTTTTTGCCCGTTACTCCCTATTAAAAAATTATTTAAAAATTACCAATTTGTTATGAAATTTACTCCATTAATTGTTATTCCTAAAATCATCCCCTTCATTTTTTATCATACACAATGTCTCTCAAATATACTCATTTTGCTCAAAATTTTTCGCTAAAATCAAAGTTTGAAAATTTAGTGTCCAAATTTATCCATTTTTAATTTCAATCACAAGTGGTCCTAATTGAAAATTTTTTAAACTGGAATAAATTTACATAATCATAATTTTTTCTTGGATTGATTAAAATCTATTTTAATCATTCAAAGCAAGGAAAAATTTCATACATTGCACCCAATTCTTTTAGATTTTCCTATCTCACACATAAATTTTGATTTCTACACACAAAACAATTTATTTATGAATGAAAATATGAATTTGATTATTAAAATATGATAATGAGTATTATTTTTTACGTGCTGTTGTAAATTAGAGCTGTCAATTATTATTAAAATTTAGGTGTGAGATAGATAAATATAAATGTCTTGGATGCAAGTTACGTAGAAAGCTCCTTATTTGATTGTAATTTGAGTTGTCCTGCAGTGGCAAATCAGTAATTCTCATTACATTCGCGCCCAAAGGTCTAAATCTCCCATTCTTAAACCGACGCCACCTGCCAAGAGTCACGCCTTCCTATCCCCCGTCACGTGCGGAACCGTCTACGCTGCTCCTTCTACCTCAGCTTTTCATGTACTAAATCTTCCGCCGGCAGTGGCGGCGGAATCTTTGGCGATCTCACGAAATAACTCCGGCGATGTCGACGCCAACGAGACAACAAAAGCTTCTCTGCCTCGCCGTCTTCTTCATAGGCGTCTGCGCTTTTCAAGCACAAGCAGCATGCGGGCTAAGGTGCCGCGCAGCGGCCATCCGAGCTCTTCCAGCGGCGACGGAACCCTTCATCGGCCGCCGTCCGGTGCCAGACCCGGTGCCGGCTGGATTTCTATGATGACAAGCGTCCGGTACCTAGCTGCCCGGACCGCCTTCACAATCGGTAAAATTGCATTTTTTTTCTGAAGTATCACTCGACCGGGAGCGAATATTAAGTAGGTGCTGTGAGATGATATTGGTGGCGATATTAAGGTGATATTGCACCTCAATATTATCTACATGTCATCAATACGACTCCAATACTATATCAATATCACATATCCGCGCTAATTTCAGTGTTTGGTTTGCGAAAGCGTAGAATGGAAAAGGGCTTTGTATCGTTAGAATCTCTGGCTCAAATTTTGTGGGCGGCTATTATTTCTTGTTTTGTAGATCTGCGTTGGTCAGGTCGGGGTTAAAAGTGTAATTAAGCGGAGATTCTTGGCATACAGAGCCTTGTTATCCTGTTTTCCAAATCCAGAGGAATTCAAAAAGTGCCTGAATTTTATTTAAATATACAATTATATTTATCTATTTATATAGAAGCATTTCTTCTCACACATTCAAAATTATGACAATTTCAAGACACAGCACTTCTTATTTGCTCATATGCATAAGAAATGGGTGATATGTGACCAAATGTGGATCAGATATGATCCACTTGTAGGACAAATGTTTATATATATATATATATATATATATATATATGAGACCTATCTAAATTCTTATAATTTATTATAATTTTATTTTGGTTAACTTGTTTTTAATAAATTTGTCTCTCTTAGATAGGGATGGTTGGTGATTCATTTCTGCAATGTTTTCATTTTATAAATTTAATATATTTTAGTTTAATTTATAAAACAAACGATAGTATAAAAAAATGTCAAAATTTGTCTTCGATGATTAACTAATTTGTAAAAGAAATTATTCTCTTAGGGAAGCATGATTTTATATGCACCAAAGACAAGAAAAACGCGAAAAAATTAAAACAATATATGCTTTCGAAATACTTCGAGATATAAAAAGTTACATTTAGGCTGGCTTTGCGAGAATGAAGAATGCTGAATGTCTTCCGCTTCGAGAAGACAAGAAACAACTTTATATGTATTTTTCTCTTTTTCTCAAAATCCAATGTGATATTAAAAAGTTTGATGGGCAAATCCTTTTTTTTTTAATTCATAAGTTTTTACAGCAAAAAATAATTTTAAATTTTATTTAAAATAAGTATAATATAAAATTTATTGACTATGAGCTGTTATCATCTTTAGGGGCTGCATGGTAATTAATCTAAGTAGGTTTTAAATTAAATATTTCCAAATATTAAATTTTAAATCCATGATTTTTTAAATCCGATTTCCTACTAATTTTTTTTCAGTTTGTGATAAATCTTGAATTTACTGTCCGGATGGTGGCAGAATTTTGTATGTCCCAATTTATCTGATTTACTAATCTTGATTAAAGCATTGTCATGCAGCCCATTAGGATTTTATGTGTGCTGATTATCAAGGATTACTCTTAGATCAATGCTTGTAGAAAACAAATTATTTTGTACATTATTTTATTTTATTTTATCCATGTGTGAATAAAAGTTTTATTTGAGAATTTTAAAGAGAATCTGAATTTTAAAGCTTAAAGGTAATGTTTTTTTTTAATTTTACAAAAGTTAATTTTACGACATTAATTGATGTACTCAATAAATTTAGTCTTTTTTTAAAACTTATTTTTTCTTAATTTAAGCAAACATATGAGGTCTTATTAATTATTTCATGGGAATTTACATACATGCCTCACTAATCTTATGTATATACGCATTTAAAGTTTCATATTTACACTTTTAACCCCTTCATGTCATAAATCATGTGAAAAATTTCAATGTTATTTACGTAAATATGAATATTTAGATGTTAGATATGCAAATTTATAAATATTACATGGTATCTATGTAAATATATAATCTTTTTTCGTTGTCATCCCAATTATATCTCAAATACCACAAGATCAAAAACATTTGGGTAACTACTACAATACTTTTCTGATTTCGCTTTTTATTCTAGTGCTCTTTTTAATGTTTTAAATAGAAGATTATATTATACAAGGAGACAGAAGTTTCAAAAACTTATCATTTACTCTCATAATTAGTTCCATTTAAAAAGAAAGATTAGGACATACAATTATTTAAAGTCAAATGACTAAATTATCCCGAATTACAATAAGAATAAAAAATATGCATGTAGAAGCTTATGTTTAAGTGTTGAATATGAAAATACAGAAGAATTGAGTAGTATGCATCTTCTTTAATTTAATTAATCTTTATTGCCATAAGTTGAAAATACAGAAGAATTGAGTAGTATGCATCTAATCTTCTTTAATTTAATTAATCTTTATTGCCATAAGAAAACATAAAAGCATAAAAATATCATTTAAAATTACTATAACCTTTTTCGGGAGAAAAAAAATTATCGAACAAGCACAAAATTCAGTACAACATGCTATTTTAAATTTTTCAAATTTAAATTTAAGTACATTCAAATTTGAATTTTATACATTTATTAAAAACCAACTATTTTAAATAGAGAAGTCTAATGATATTAAGAATTGTCCATCCAAACTAAAAATGAATTTAAAACAAACATTTAAAATAAAATTGATAATTTTATGATATTGATTGAGAAATTAAGAAAAGCCAACAGATTTAAAATCACTGAATGCTAATCACATTAAGAAAATTTAACAATTATAATTCATTCCTCACCTTTCATTATTCAACCCGTATTTTCTTTATTTTTATTTATATGAGCATAATAGTAGTTTTCTCTTTTATAGTTACTTCGGCATGAAGCATGTAAAATCTATATTATTTTTTAAGTATTTATGCATTGAGTTTTTTGGTTTAAAAAGGAAACAAAAAAGAATTTGTGAAAGTTTTTTAATGTCTTCACACTCCCCTGGCATTTCTGTAGAAATCTCGCTTCGTGATTGCCTCGGGTACATAAAGTCAGGGTGACGTCATAATCCGTACCTTAAAAATAATTTAGTGTGGCCATTAATTATTATTTTTGAGATCAAAGGGCGAGGTTTTCCAGTCAAATCGGTGAAGCGGAGGATGATGCGGCGGGCTGGGTGGTGTTTTTGTCTTCTTCTTGTTTGGAAGAGAATCTCCATCACTCCCTACTTACTATTCATAATCTGTGTACCTCTACATACGTAATTGGATTTATTTTATTTTTTAATTATTTGATTTGAATTATTGATATGAGAATTTTATTAATTTAAATGTCAGAAATGAGGGGTGACAAATAGCGCACATGGTTTGCTTGGATCCATCTGTAGGATTTTGGGGCTATGTTTATTTGATTTGGTTGAGTCATTAGCGTGGTCACGTAACATCTTGTCATAAAGAAAATATGCATGTGAATGTTGCTGCTGCATATGTAACTTCTATATTGATAGATCTTTGATTTGCAAGCTTTTATTTGTTTGAGAAATTATGATGTATGGAACTATCCGTCCATCATATATGTGGATTTACATGAACGTGACTTCTGATGATTAGACAAACATGCAATATCCGGGTATAATATTTTCTCCAAATATATTTTGATGGCAAGGTCTTTGATTCATTACTTAATGACTCGTTACTTAATGTTTTATTCTGAGCTTGTTTTGAGTGTTATAATGCACTTTTTTTATATTTTTTTTTCTATTTTTATATGCTAGAAGTTTTAACATTTAATTTTTTTTGTTTTTCTTCTCCTTAAAATTTGAGCTATCTAATTATGTAAAATTTTTGGTTGAGCATGTGCTCTCAATTTCTGGAAAAAAAAAAAACATTCTAACGATTAGACTAATCTAAAATGCATAATTTTTTTTTTCCTCAAAATGCAAGCCCAAACCTGGTACCTTGAGATTCTTTAATTAGTTGAAAAGAAAGTGTAGGTTCAAAAATTTTGCTGTTGAGAGTAACAATTTTAATGAGTGTGTAGCTATTTAATTGATTGCATAATACGCTGTATCTCAACTTTGACCCTCTATTTTTAGGTCTAAGTTAACACTAGTAATGTTACAAAATTGGCTACTTGAAAAGGAAATACATTAATAAAATACTTGAAAGGTGCATCACACCTTATAACCCGATAGAACGTCTAACTAATTACGTGAATGTTATTCGGTACTTGAAAAAGTGAAGTTCATGTGTGTTCGAGTTGTAGAGTTGGTTGATGATAATAATAAGATTGATAAATTAATAAGTAGATGAATTTTTGACTTGACCAGTGATCATGTTTGGGCTAATGAATTGACATGTTGTTGTATTTAGACAATCAAACTTAAGAGTTAACATAGCCAAACCTTAAATTGATCATATTTCCATAGTTGGGTTGTGTTAAGCTGGAGTTCGATTTTACCGCTCCTGCTCCCGTCGTGACCCCAACCCGCTCCCGCTACTGGATCTCGCTCCCGATC